AACTATCTAGATAATTATTAGATGTTCTTTATCAGTTATGTCAATACTTGTGTAGTATATACCAGTTATATGAAATCAAGGCAGGATAGTCTTTCGAATAGGTGACCCTAACTCCAAATCCACAATCCAACTAGAACAGGAAGTAAAGCAAAGGTTACGGATTCTGAGTCTATAACGCCTAAATTTCATATAACCTTAGCATATCCACTTAAGAACTATCAACCTACTTGATAGAGACCTGTTTAGTTCTCATGTAAGTACTTATAGTAACACAAAATACTCCCATAGTATTTTAAACTCATGTTCCGTTCTAATGTTCTCATCGTGGTAGTGTTGGTAAGTTTTTAGACTTGTTGCCATATCACAACCATTCTTGGGCATGTGCTAATCACTCATCAGACCAGCATAGTTGATCAGGCTATGCCACTCCCAAAACTGACCATACATCCCCGAGCTTACTTGTGATATCCAACAATCGTAATACTTTTGTTCTTGTCATTGTGACACGTATTTTAGTATGAATGTAGGTATGTATACTTAGTTAAATATTTTATTATTTAAAAGTATAAACTCTTGGTCAAAGTATTTTTAATCCCATTGTATTTATAGTCTATATATCTTTTATGGGTTGTTATACTTAATTCACTATAAACAATGCTCTGATACTAATCTGTCACACCCCCAAACCACGGATGGCGGAAACGTCCGGGGGTGGAGGACTTCATGTATAGTATCACAACAACGTGTATAATAGTGTTCAAAGTAAATACAACCATCATAAATATAATTGAACAAGTTACACCAAAGTATATGTTTACATGTTTCGCTCAATTACATTATGATGACAAAATGAACTGTATGACGATTTAAAGTCCCATCCTCAAAATGCGGTTGGTTTTCCTGTTTCACTGATTTCTTGAGAATACAAGTAGTTTTGAAAAAGTGTCAACAATTAAGTTGGTGAGTTCATAAGCTTTTGAAAGTAAGAGTTTAAAAGCCGCTCTTTTCAATGAGTTGTATGTTACCAAGAAAATCCAATATTTTCCTTATAAAACTTTATGTAGTCTTAAAACCCAAGACTGGATGTACGTGTGAGTTTTGTGTTATGCGATCTCAAATACTGAGATAGATGCGTACCAGTAAAATCCGTACCTATCGTTATTAAAAGTGGTTTTTGTATCAACATGAAAACCCTTTTTGATTTATAAAATCCCGTATACTTTAATTTTTGTTAACTCCCTATGTGGGTCATTATAACAAAACGAAGATTAACCGGTACTTTGTAATGTACCCCTTTCTGTATAAAACCGGTACTTTGTATTCGTACCCCATTTATATGAAGACCCGGTACTTTGTGATGTACCCCTTTTGTATAAACCCGGTACTTTGTATTCGTACCCCATTTATATGAAGACCCGGTACTTTGTGATGCACCCCTTTTGTATAAACCCGGTACTTTGTATTCGTACCCCATTTATATGAAGAGCCGGTACTTTGTATTTATACCCCATTCCGTATGAAAACCTTTTGTAATGTACATGAACATAAATTATACCTATTATAGCTTATCAAAATGTTTATAATGTATATGCGATCTAACAATACATAGTATAGTGTAGTTTGTTTGTTTGTGGTGTATAAGAACCCTTTTATTAAAACACATTAGTGCTACGAATCCATAAACTATGCTTATTATAGCTGAATGTATGTGTTCTAAATGAATGAAGAATCTTCTCATGAATGACTATTTCAGTTTATGATGATAAACTAACAAGGAAACACATTCAATATTTAGAACTTCTTGTTATACACTTTGCTCAACTTAATACAAAGTGTTATGAAAGTTATAAGCTGTTAACTAGTTTTTATCCTTTCTGCGCTGTTTTAGAAAAATCATAGAAAACTCATATGAAGTTGAAAACTGATTCCGTAAATTCTGGAAGTTCAAAAAATGTGTCTAGTTTATTCATAATTTTTATTATGATTTTTAGGAGTCTTTAACTAGTCTTAAAAGGTTCATATTGACAGACTGGTCCCAATTTGTTTCTGAAATGATAAGCAGTTTTGTAAAACTCACCATATATCGTAGAAAAATCGTGTGGAGATGTGGAAGTAGTCATTTTAAAGGTATAAACCTGAACTATTCGCATCTAATACAGTTTTGAAAACAAAAATGTTTAAGTCGACCAAAACAGTCCGTGAATGGGGGTAAACTTTTCTGATGAAGGCTATTAAATGAGTTTAGTTGTGTTCTTAGTGTTTTAACTTGTATTCCCCCCCCCCCCCCCTTAAAACTTAAGAAAAACATGAAAAGATAGGGATATGAACTCAACTTATGTGATTTCAGTGGGTGAATGTTGAAGAAATGAAGTGTTCAACTCAAGAACACTTGAAGGATCACTTGAAGATTTGAGAATCTAACACAATAATGATGGAGTTTGTGTAAGGAGTCAATGATTTGTGTAAAAGGAAATGTAATGACCATAAGGAGGGTGATGATACTTACCAAATGAAGATGGAAAGATTGAACAAATGGCTTGGAAATCTCAAAATTATATGAGAGAATTTGAGAGAAAAGATGTGTTTGATCTTTGGTGGAAATGAAAGAAATGAGTAAGAATGAGGAGAGAGGGTGAGTTTTCAGCCTTTGATTGGTCAAATGGTGGGGAAAGTACCCTTGAATGACTAATTATGGTGGGGGACAATAGTTGGCCATGGAGTGGGGTGTTACACACTAAGTTAAAGTCAACACTCTACCACAAGATCTTATTTAATAGATTTTATTCTTTAATAAAGATTTCCTTAAAAATATGTTGAATTTATGAATATATGGGTCCTTATATGACAAAATATGAATTTGGGTGAAAATTCCGCTTTAAAATGATGAAAAACGGGCTTAAAACGGAGTTGTGGTCGAAAACCGGGAGAAAAAGAGGAAATTTCGGAATTTTGGGCGAGGTCTCGGCCTCAGCAGCCAAGAACCGAACAACATGTGAGGATCTGGGGGAGGAGGCTGTGGTCTGAGGGGGTTCTAATGCGGGCATGGTTGCGACTCGCTTGCTGCGGTCGGGGCTGCGGCTCGCACGCTTCGATTCCAGCCCAAGAGGGTCCGACCTCTAAGAGGCTTCGGCCCTAGGGGAGGTTCCGGATCCTTTCGCCCGTTCTAACCTCGTTTTAAGCGATTTTTGACCCGGTTAAGGGTCGGAATGACCCGAATGACTTCTAAAAGTTACGGGAACTATTGAGAGAGATTTGGGAGAGATTTCAAATAGAAAGAGATAGAGTGAAAACGATTGAGAGAGGTTTCGTTTGTGACCTTTTTGAGTGTCCGACTTCGCAATGCAAGGTCTGTAAACCCCGTTACGCCACGTTTTAGCGTCTTACACACTCCCGATGAGTGTGCATTAGTGTTTTATCGCTTTGGTTCATGGTTTACCGTATTTAAGGCTTAGGAAATTCAATCACATGGATTTTCCAAATGTGTTTTCTCATCATAATAGTGAGTTGTACAGAAATTACCTAACGTAAGCCCTAGTACACAAGGGTTAATTGAGTAGACTGGTTTGACTTGTTCACTTTATTTGACTTTGACTTGACCGAAAATTGATAGTTGTCACACCGTCTATCCTTGGCATTTCTCCTTGCTTTTTTTAACCTTTTCCTTTGGGGTCAACTTTGGTTTCTTGAACAGGTTGAAAAGCTCTTCCATCGAGACAATCGGTAGACTTAACAACTAGATGGTGGGGTTCAGATTGGAAATTTGTGTGGGGTTAGGGTTGGGAAATGAATTGGGTTTTTGTACCGAATCAAACAGATCAAGTTCGAGATTTAGATCGGATAAGGGTTAGGATTGAAAATTTGTTTGGGGCTGGGGTTGGAAAAATGGTATGGGTTAAGATTAGAATCGAGAAGAGTATGAATGGAGTGGATACAACTGTAGAGCGATAATCGAATAATAATAACTAATGGGTTAGTGGATGGTTTGATTGAGTGAACGTTGATAACAAGTCGGTGATAAAAGGTTTTGGTAAAGATGTGTTGTTAGGGTTTGCAATTTTTTTTTGTTTCTCCTTGGCATTTTGGTTTGGTTAGGTGAAGACATTGTTTTTGGTGAATTGAGAAGTTTTTTGACAGAAAAGAATGGTATTATGTGTGGTGAAATGTTGAGGTTTAGGTGTCTATTTAGAGTGGTTGTAAGAGATACTCAAAATTTGAAATTTAAAAAAACAAAGGTTTATTATTATTATTATTATTATTATTATTTACAAAATGGTTATTATTTTATTTTATTTTTTTAAAGCTGGTCAAAATTGTGTTTATTCCTAGTCAAATGCTAACCACCTAACCAAAAGGTTTAACTCTCTCTCTCTCTCTCTCTCTCTCTCTCTCTCTCTCTCTCCTTGATGAGTTCAATCCGACGTGCTCCCTTGCACAAGCCAAGCCAGAGGGCGGTGTTTAGTTCCTCTGGCATGACTTGGCGATCTGGGTAGCGCGAGCCACTCCCCAAAGCTTGACAATCCACATCTCTCTCTCTCTCTCTCTCTCTCTCTCACTCACTAGAGGCCTGACGAGTTCAATCCGATGAGTTCCCTTGCACAAGCCAAGCCAGAGGGCGGTGTTTAGCGCCTTGGCGCTCCGAGTAGCACGAGCTACTCCCCAAAGCTTGATAGTCCACCTCAGCAAGCAACATGCTGAAAATGTATCGGCTAAAATGAAAAAAATTAACTGGTTTATTGAGTTTTTCTCTTAAAAAAAGTTAAAAGTTAAAAATTAATTTTTATTAAATTTAAGTACTTTTATGAAAATTTCATAATATAATAATTGCGAACAATTTCTTAAATGAAATATCATATCTTTTAAAAAAGAGATGCTACCCCACCCATTTGAGGCCACACTTTAGAACTTTTGTCTTACCCCCCCACCAACGGCCTCAACGAGCACTTTCAGAGTGTGGTTTTATTTTTAGATAGACAAGCACTTTGATCTGGGTAAGAGAAACGATGGATCCCCATATCTTCATAGCACGGGCGGAGGCGCAACGGTGGCTGGGTATCGCCGAGAAACTGCTTATGAGCCACGACCTAGTCGGCTCCAAGACATTTGCGATCCGAGCACGAGAGTCTGACCCCAGACTTGAAGCTGCTGATCAGATCCTAGCAGTTGTTGATACGCTCATCGCTGCCGAGAAACAGGTCGTCGGAAATAATGGCGTGCAGCAGCCGGATTTTTACGGGATCCTTCAACTCGTCCAGTTTGTTCAGGACACGGACCACATCGCCTCCCAGTACCAAATGCTCGCCTTCATCCTAAACCCTCATCAAAATCGGTTCCCTTACTCCGATCAAGCGTTTCAGATTGTTAACGAAGCTTGGGCCGTGTTGTCGAACCCTATGAGGAAATCTATGTATGATTCGGAGCTTGATTTTCCGCCGCAACTGCAGATGAACACTATAGGGTTTAATCTCGAGGAACAGCAGCAGCAGCAGCAAGAACAACACAATTTTTTTTCGATTGACTATATGGGGTCGGATCAGCAGAAATCGCCGGAGCAAGAGCAGACGTTTCAAACTAGGGTACAACAAACTCATCAACAGCAGGAGTCGCAGCAGCATAATTTTCTGTCACGAAATCAATCTGCACCTGTTCACGAGGAGGATGAGCAATTGTTTCAGCATCATGAGCAGGAGCAATTGTTTCAGCCACAGGTTGAGCCTTTAGAAGTCATGTCTACACCGTATCAACAAAATCCACCACAATCTCCTCAGCCGCAGCCATCTATGCAATCCGCAACTCCGCCTCCTGCAGCACCACCACAACCTCCGTTATCTTGGCCACAAGCACCATCTCTGTCACAGCCACAGCAGCCACACCAGAAACAGCAACCTCCATTGCAGCCCCAACAACAAGAAGCATGGGTAGAACAAGATGCTGGTCCTGTTCATTCTCCTAATCAAGTTAATAGTAACAATGGTGCAAAGGAGGAGGAAACTGAAACAGAAACAGAAGCAGAAGCTGAGAATGTGGATGAGTCGCCTACATTTTGGACTGCATGTCCTTACTGTTTCTACATGTATGAGTATCAAAGGATCTATGCAGAGTGCACCATCCGTTGTGACAACTGTAAAAGGGCATTTCAGGCTGTAGGTATTTCCTCCCCACCATTAATGGCAGAAGGCCAGGAAGACTATTTCTATTGTTGGGGATACTACCCTTTAGGGGTTTCAATCTCACATCTGCCAAAAACAGCTAAAACGAACTCAAAGTGGACACCTTTTTCACCTCTCCATGATGCCTCAAGTAATGTTCAGAACCATTTCAATAGTAGGGAAGCCCCAAAGAAGAATACTTTTGTGAAGAAGGATTTGGGGCCACGAATCTACATAGATGATATTACTGATGATATCTTTACAGGAATCTCTGAACCTAGTGATGATTCTGATGTTGAATGGAATATGACCAGGGACAAAAGTTGAATATGATATTGTATTTGAAAAAAAAAAGTTCTTTGTCTACAAGAATGGACCAGAAAGATCATATTTTGATCATCTTTTGCTACATGTGCATCTGCTCCGTAAAAAAAGGTATGCATCAGTAGTTTGTGCCATATTCTTCAATTATTATGATTTAGCATCGAGCTTTTGTTTGTTATGATAATTTATGTGATAACCTTTGCTAGATTTAGGTGAAATACTAATATACTATGAAGCTTTCAATTCTATAACTCAGATTTCAATGTTTGATAATCAAAATACTGCATGTGCAAGGTTTCTTTCAAGAATCATCAATCATCACACCAGCTTCTCTAATGTAACACTCAGTAAGAGGTTTGACCATCACTTCAGGAAATTTTGGGAAATCAGAATTCAACTCAACCATGTTGAAGTAACCCCAAACCATTTTTAGGACACTACTTCCACCATTATCATCATATCCATCTGTAGTTGTAACTTGTAAGCTGTTCAACTCCTTTTTCCTGCTCTAAAATCTGAATGATTGAAGATTTTTCGATCAATGCTTGCAAGAATTTTAGAACCCCATACATATTCCATGCCCGAGCGTGTTATAATTATGATAGTCATATCTAGCATAAATGATAATAAATAGAGCAAATTTGCAATTATATGAAATGAAAGCATAAGAAAGATTACAAGTTGTTGATATGGACTTGCTTACACTCGGTCAATCTTAAAGTAATGGAATAGTAGAATGAACACAAAAGGCAGCTTAAAGATTAATCATTCCAATCATTCGAGAGGATTAGGTTCTCCAATACCAAGTTCTTAACAAAATTTTGTAGATGCTACTCTAGGAGAATCAAAGAAGCTTAAATACTCAACTTTAGTAGACCATACCAAAAAGTGTGTTTCCCGCTACACACCTAAAAATGGGAGGAGCACAACCAAATTATTCATAGGGGCAATCTGGTCAATGAGCAAAAAAAGAGCTAGGCATGGAAATAGTTACACTGTTGGGTCTTTCTTGGGCCTTGCAAACTTCCTCTTGTAGACATGAATAACTGGGGTTTATCATTATCGGTGACCCAAACTTTCACCTTGTCCTCAAGGTGAAAAGCCGGGAATTACAATTTCATTATTCCCATCAGCTTCTGTTAGTCCTTGCCAATGTATCGATACTTCTTTTTCACCGAAGTTGCTCCCATTCTTTGGTCTTACTCCTTGTAGAGCTGCTGGTTGGACAAGTAATTCAAGGTCTATATTCAGTTGAGGGGGAAGATATGTGGGTTTAGTGGGACATGTGTTTTGCAATTGTGACACATGAAATGTAGGGTGGATGAGAGTTGTCGGGGGTAATTCAAGGATGTAATGAGCGGCTAATTTCACATATTTTCTTCGTGCCAAGCTTTGTTGTCGATACGGTTTCAATTTCACGTAAACCAAGTCCCCTTCTTGATACTCCACTTCCCTTGTCTTCTTCTAAGCCTGGTTTTGCATATTTTGTTGAGTCTACAACAAATGCACAACTCATCCAATAACATCAATGTCTTATAACAATTGATCAACTGCGTCTATCCGAGATATTGCCCTTCGTAACGGATGATGGGGGTGAGTCCCTACCGCACAAGGCTCAAAGCGGGGTGTATTTGGTGGCCGTATGTAAGGATGAATTATACCAAAATTCTGCCCAAAAAAGCCAGTGAGCCCATTTTTTGGTTTCTCCTTACAAAAGACGTCGGTTCATCTCTTCCGGCCATCCGTTTGTGGGTGATAGGCCGTGCTTCTTTTGAGATGCACTCTATGTGATTTAAACAGCTCCCACCCAAAAGTGACTAAAAAAATTACGATCTCGATCATTGATTATATAGAGGAAAACCGTAGAGGGAGACGATTGTTATGAATCATACTTGATAAGTATGCAAGTTAATAGATAATATGTATTTTATATTCTAGGAAGTTATCTTGTTTCCGTTTTTAATTTTGGCAATTAGGATCTTTTATTATTTGAGTCGATTTTAGAGTCTTTGTTTCCTGATTTGGGTCTTTTGTTTATCCCTATTTAAAGGGTAGTCATTCATGAAATAAGATATGCTGGAATTGAAAAATAATCAATAAAGTAAATTAGTTTAATAGCTTAGTTTAGTCTCTTGCAAACATGAGGCTAGGTTACAAGGAAGTTCACGGCTTTTTCAAGCACTAGCATCCGTCCTGTCACGAGGTCTAGATTCCGGGTCATAACAAATTTGGTATCAGAGCCGCTCGTGATGTCGACACAACAGGAAGAGCTCATGAAGAAATTGGAAGCGTTCATGATCCAACAAACACAAAGCAACAATGATTTGAAGACAAGTACCAATGATTTAAAGGCGGTTATGATAGCCTTGTAGACCAAGCAAGCAGCGACGGAAGAGAGATTGCAAACCCTAACCCAAAACAAATCCAACAGATAAGAAGAAGAATATGAGAGCGTGGACAAGATGTTTGAGTCTGATAGATTTGATGACCCATCGGAACAGGTGCGTGGAAGAGGACGTGGCGCCACCTTTGGTGCCAATCCAAACAGTAAGTTTTCGTACCAAGGAGGCTTCGCTGGAAGAGGTAAGGGTTTGATCCAGGGAGGTGCAGGAAGAGGATCAAGCAAGGCTTTTGAATCATGGCGGACAGGTGAACCCCAACCTTTCAAACACCATTGGGATTCCTTCAAACCAGAAGGGTCAAACAAAAGGGATCAGGGGGAACCAAAAAACTGGGAAGAGATGGAAGATATGGGATACCGTGGGGGAAGAGTACCGAGATTCGCCAAGATGGAGTTTCCCACATATGATGAAAAGGGTAATCTAGTCGAAGGGCTTCAAAGATGTGAAGACCCCTACAAGGTTGGGTTAGGTAAGCCGCCTTTTCACTACAAGGTCGGGCTAGTGGGTGGTACTATAACCTACGAAGAATGAAGACCCGCTTGAATTGGTTTGAGTTCTCAGAAGAGTGCAAAATCAGGTTTGGACCCCCGATGAGCATGAACCCGTTAGGCGAGTTAACTTGATTAAGGCAAACAGGCACGGTAGAGGACTATTGTGAAGGATTTGAATTGCTACTAGGGCGAATGATAGGTGTGACTTCGGAACAAAGTATTTGGCATTTTTGTGCAGGTTTGACTAATGCTATCTGTTACGAAGTAGAGTTTGCTAGACCCACCACACTATACTATGCTATGAACCTAGCCAAACAGATTGAGTTCGAACTCGCGGAGGAAGGACGACCAAGGAGTTTGAAGCACCTCTATTAACCGGGAATCAACCCTCGACAGGAAGCAAAAACAGAGAGTTAGCAGGTGGTGGAGCCGGAACAGTGAAATCTGAAGTGCGGAACTCGGTTTTGAAACGGCTTACGGCTACAAAGATGGCGGAAAGGCGAGCAAAAGGATTATGCTTTAACTGTGATGAGATGTTCCCGATCAGCCATAAGTGTGCGAAATTGTTTGGTATCATGTTGGAGGACGAAGAAGATGTTACGTGGGATGATCGTGCTGTTTTTACCAACACGTACCCAGGTTTTAAGCTTGCGGACAAGCTTAATGCAAAGGAAAAGAGTAATGTTATGAATCATACTTGATAAGTATGCAAGTTAATAGATAATAAGTATTTTATATTCTAGGAAGTTATCTTGTTTCCGTTTTTAATTTTGGCAATTAGGATCTTTTATTATTTGAGTCGATTTTAGAGTCATTGTTTCCTGATTTGGGTCTTTTGTTTATCCCTATTTAAAGGGTAGTCATTCATGAAATAAGATATTCTGGAATTGAAAAATAATCAATAGAGTAAATTAGTTTAATAGTTTAGTTTAGTCTCCTGCAAACAGGAGGCTAGGTTACAAGGAAGTTCATGGGTTTTTCAAGCACTAGCATCGGTCCTTTCACGAGGTCTAGATCCCGGGTCATAACAACGATTTCCTTGATGAAGCTGTTGGCAACTGTGGATGCTCAGAAAGGATGCTTGAGGGGAATAAAATGAGTATACTTATCAAGTGGGTCAACCACGATCCAAATGGTATCCTATCCATTGAACTTGGGTAACCCCTTGATAAAGTCCATGGTTATTTCGTCCCATGTTTGGGCCGAAAGAGGTATTTGCTTAAAGCAACCCGATTGGAGTCGACGTGAGGGTTTTGTTTCTGTGACACACTTCGGAGTTTCTGACATATTCAATGATGTCGGCTTGCATTCCTAGCCAAAAAACCCTGACTAATGCTATTTGGCAAGTCTTTTTCTTGCCCGAATGACCGGGAGAATTGTGGATGTATGATTCCGCCTTAAGAGAAGTTTGTGTTGGAATCACCATCTGACCTTTGTATAAGACATTGTCTTGAAATAGCGGAAAGCCTATGATTTCTGCCTTAAGAGAAGTTGGCGTTGGAATCATCGACCGACCTTTGTATAAGACATTGTCTTGAAATAGCGGAAACCCTATGATTTCTGCCTTAAGAGAAGTTGGCGTTGGAATTATTTATTAGTATTTTACTTTTTTTTTTTTTCGAAAAGTTTCACCTAATAAAAAATCTTAATATGTATTTAATAAATGAAGTTTTTATTTATAAAATATTAAGCTTTAGTATATTTTTAGTAGTTCATAACTTTAAATAACAACTAAGATATTTGTTTTTTTTTTTTTTTTTTTTTTTTTTTTTTTTTTTTCCTTTTATAAAGTTGGATAATATTCTAATTATATGTGCTTTTAAAAAAATATTCCAAATTTTGAAAACCGAATTATAAAAACCAATCCAATCGAATTGTGATTCGATTGAATTGGATTGGATTTGAATTTAGTTTGGACTATTTGGATCTATGTCTTAAAAACCGAAATCAATTTGGATTCACCTGATTGGATCAGATCGAACTGATCCATCCAAACGAACACCCCTACTAGCTCTGGATCGATATTAAATTTCAAAATTAAACCCTATTGGCTTAAACACACCCATTTTTGATAATTGTGACCTATAACACGTTGCTCGAGTATGTACTTGAGACTATGTTGATCCGTTCGAACGATGAATCTTCTTCCCATTATGTAATGCCTCCACTTCAATATGACTTTAGCAATGACCATAAACTCTTTTTCATAAATAGATTTTGATCGTGGTTCCTAAAGTGCAACTATAATAAGCTATTGACCTATTATATTGGATTAGAACTGCCCCAAGTCTGTACCCCGACGTGTCAGTTTCAACCACAAAGGGTTTCTCCGACTCCGACATTGCTAAAAACGACATGGTTGTGATGCTGTCTTCGATTGTTGAAGGGTTTTTCGACAACCTTGTTCCATCCAAATTTATATTTTTTTTCAAGTTGCTCCGTGAGAAGTGTGGCTATGCTCCTCTGACAAACTTTTAATGGTACCCCGTGAGTCCCAAAAAAAACCTCATAAGCTCTTGATGTTTTGTGGTACAAGCCATTCCAACATGGCTTGAATCTTAGATGGTCTCCGTCGAGACCCCATTGGCTGAAATCTCATGACCAAGGTATGATAGACATGATTGGCCAAATTCACACTTTAATTTGAGATAGGGTTGATTTTATGCTAACCGTTCTAAGGCCATTGTGAGATGTCTTTGATGCATTTCTTTACTAGCATCATACACCAATATGTCATCAAAGAAAACAAGGACGAGCTTCCGTAAATATGGCCAAAATATCTCTTTCAATAAGGCTTGGAAGGTAGCAGGGGCGCTGGTAAGGCCAAAGGGCATCACTTTGAACTCGTAATGGCCATCGTAAGATCAAAAAGTTGTACGGGGTATGTCTTTCGCCTTAACCCTTTGATGGTATCCCGACTGGAGGTCAAGTTCGCTAAAAATGATCGATCCGTGTAACTCATCCAATAGTTCGTCTACGAAGGGAATATTGAATTTTTTTGGGGGACGGTTCACTCCGTCCTTGACAAGGATGACGGGACTAGAATAAGGACTCATGCTAATTTGTATCACACTGGCAGTAAGCATGTCTTTAATCATTCGTTTGATCGTATCCTTTTGGTAATGGGGTATCGATACGGTCTCACGTTCACGGGCTACTCCTTTAAGAACTATCCGATGTTCCAAAAATCTCTTGGGTGGGAGCCCAGTTGACTCATTGAAGATGGAACAAAAGTGGGACAATTGATTTCAGAAATTTCGGGCTCTCTTTCGTAGGAGCATCTTTAACCTCAACATTGTTTAACTCGATCCGAAGTTTTTTTTTTTTTTTTTTTTTTTTCTTTATGTAATTCTCTCTCCAAATTTTTTAAGGATACCAGGGACATGCCCAAAGTTGGGTCTCCTTTCAAAATGGCTCTCCTTTCAATTTGACTCGCCTTCCTCCAATGTCGAAGTCCATCGACTGATCCTTCCAATTGATTTGAGTGTTACCTAAGGTCTTGTGCCATTTCATCCTTAAGATTATCTCGGAGCTTCCGAATCGGAGGGGTAAGAACTCTTCGATAATGTCGATTTGTTTTATCTACAATAACACCCCCTTACATACTCCCCCTTGCTTTATTGTCCCTAGTACCCATTCAAACCCCATGCCAAACTTGTAACAATAAAATTATGTGTGGCCTCGAGGTCAATCATGGCAGCCACTAGTTGATTCATGATGTTTCCTTGCAGTTTCATCGTTTTAGGGACGAGAGCCCTGCTACAGAGTTTAGAGATACCTTAATTGAGTGGTCAATTTCTAAAGTTTCCAATGTAACTCCTTCATTGGGTGTAAAGTCTTGCTCGTGCTCCTCACAAAGTTTGATCTCCTATTTATCAACCAAAATCACATTGACTTGTGTTTTACAGCGATGCCGTGGTTGCCATTTGTCATCACATTTGAAGCAAAGACCTCGAGTTTTCTTTTCTGCTATTTGCGCTTCAGTCAATCAACGATCATCGCTCGTGTTTCGCCGGAAGGCGAGATTTGATTTCATTGGAAATGGCATAACAACAAATATCATGTTGTTTTTTCAGACTAATCTAATGTTTTGTTACGATAAAGTTTCAATCTCCTTTGTAGGTATCCATTACGTTCACATGGTAGATACATATTCATCCCATTCAAGATACTATTTTTTTCTTGGTTTCTTTTAGCAAATCCGTTAAATTTAAGGAAAAAAACTATAATAGATATAAATATTTCAGTTATCCCTATAAAATTCCTTTTGGGATTGCAACATATTTGAAAACTCAAAAAGACAAATAATGGTAAATTTCTTAGTTACCCTCTTTAAGGAGTGTCCTCATCCTCAAACGTCATCTTCAATTTCACACCTATAGTAAATTGCTTTCACAACATCTATGTACTTGTTCAAGCCTATGATGAATTTACTTTCCCCACCAAATTTCAAGAACTTATCAAGATCCCAACTTTTTCTTTATACGACAACTTTTAATTAACATTAAGAATGTGATTGCTAAGAAATATAATTGTACATAATATAATAATGGATAGAGTAATAAACCAAGAATAAATAATCTTGAAAAACAGATTGTAGGTCTCCTTCCCATATTTCTTTCTTCGATGTACATAGAGTTGAGTTTGATCCGTTTCTTATAGATCTCCTATTCCGTACAAGTGATGCTTTCATTTAAAGGGGAAACCGCGGAGGGAGAAGGAAACCAAAAATTTAGATAAAACGAATTAATTTGGTAATGAACTAAATGAAAAGGAAGATGTTTGGGGTATTGTGTTCGGTTTTATCATCAATATAACACCAAAATGGGTAAAAAGATGTTAATTTAGTGAGATTTCATATATGTTTGTCGACGAGATTGTTAGTTGAGGAGTCTTTCCTTTTGACCTCATTATCGCTATAGAGACAAAGCATGGGCTCCTTGTTGCAGAGTGGCTACAAGGAAAGACTTCACGGTAACTTCAGGTGTAAGTTGTACTAAAAATATAAACAAGTACTATTTACGTTAAAATTAAAGTCTGGAATTTGAAGTTTGTTACAGAAGATGCAAGTAAAAATGAAAACTTAAACAAAATACAATAATTGTATATTGGACTCAAATAGACTTCAACATATAAGTGTTAACACCGAAATGGGTAAAAAGTTGCTAATTTAGTGAGATTTCATACATGTTTGTTGATGATCTTTATTAAATCGTTAATCAATTGGTAGTCATTAATGATGGTTCCCTTTACCGATGGATATATAGCTAATATATGTGTTAGTATTATATATATATATATATATATATATATATATATATATATATATATATATATATATATATATATATATCAAACTTAACATTTTATAATTTCTGGTTAGTTTGGTCTATTTTTATATTGATGGTATTGTGCAGGGGTTGTGTAAATTTCTTATTGCAAATACGGGTCAACGATCCACAGGGTCATTTTCATGACCCGAGTGTATATGCTTGTTGGTCCTCGTCTCAATCATCGAATACATTATGTAGTTTGCTCTCTCTTTCTCTCCAACTCTTGATTAGCGTTTTCTGTATTATCTAGGGTTTGTTCTGCCATTTCCCTTTATAGTAAAATCATTTTGTGTATACATTAGAGTGTGAGTATTATGTAGCGAGGATTTCTTTTGTAAGTATTGATGTACAAACGAACTGAATAAACT